ACGCTGAAACCCCGCTAGGTTTGCACCTGTGGTTGAGAGTCACACACAGATGATGCAACGCTGAAACCCCGCTAGGTTTGCACCTGTGGTTGAGAGTCACACACAGATGATGCAACGCTGAAACCCCGCTAGGTTTGCACCTGTGGTTGAGAGTCACACACAGATGATGACGCTGAAACAGGTTTGCACCTGCACACACAGATGACGCTGAAACCCCGCTAGGTTTGCACCTGTGGTTGAGAGTCACACACAGATGCAACGCTGAAACCCCGCTAGGTTTGCACCTGTGGTTGAGAGTCACACACAGGTGATGCAACGCTGTGGTTGAGAGTCACACACAGATGATGCAACGCTGAAACCCCGCTAGGTTTGCACCTGTGGTTGAGAGTCACACACAGATGATGCAGCGCTGAAACCTCGCAAGGTTTGCACCTGCGGTTGAGAGTAACACACAGATGATGCAACGCTGAAACCCCGCTAGGCTTGCACCTGTGGTTGAGAGTCACACACAGATGATGCAACGCTGAAACCCCGCTAGGTTTGCACCTGTGGTTGAGAGTCACACACAGGTGATGCAACGCTGTGGTTGAGAGTCACACACAGATGATGCAACGCTGAAACCCCGCTAGGTTTGCACCTGTGGTTGCGAGTCACACACAGATGATGCAACGCTGAAACCCCGCTAGGTTTGCACCTGTGGTTGAGAGTCACACACAGATGATGCAACGCTGAAACCCCGCTAGGTTTGCACCTGTGGTTGAGAGTCACACACAGATGATGCAACGCTGAAACCCCGCTAGGTTTGCACCTGTGGTTGAGAGTCACACACAGATGATGCAACGCTGAAACCCCGCTGGGTTTGCACCTGTGGCTGAGAGTCACACACAGATGATGCAACGCTGAAATTGCACCTGTGGTTGAGAGTCACACACAGATGATGCAACGCTGAAACCCCGCTAGGTTTGCACCTGTGGTTGAGAGTCACACACAGATGATGCAACGCTGAAACCCCGCTAGGTTTGCACCTGTGGCTGAGAGTCCACACAGATGATGCAACGCTGAAACCCCGCTAGGTTTGCACCTGTGGTTGATGATGCAACGTCACACACAGATGATGCAACGCTGAAACCCCGCTAGGTTTGCACCTGTGGTTGAGAGTCACACACAGATGATGCAACGCTGAAACCCCGCTAGGTTTGCACCTGTGGTTGCGAGTCACACACAGATGATGCAACGCTGAAACCCTGCTAGGTTTGCACCTGTGGCTGAGAGTCACACACAGATGATGCAACGCTGAACCCCCGCTGGGTTTGCACCTGTGGCTGAGAGTCACACCCAGATGATGCAACGCTGAAACCCCGCTAGGTTTGCACCTGTGGTTGAGAGTCACACACAGATGATGCAACGCTGAAACCCCGCTAGGTTTGCACCTGTGGTTGAGAGTCACACACAGATGATGCAACGCTGAAACCCCGCTAGGTTTGCACCTGTGGCTGAGAGTCACACACAAATGATGCAACGCTGAAACCCCGCTAGGGTTGCACCTGTGGTTGAGAGTCACACACAGATGATGCAACGCTGAAACCCCGCTAGGTTTGCACCTGCTGGTTGAGAGTCACACACAGATGATGCAACGCTGAAACCCCGCTAGGTTTGCACCTGTGGTTGAGAGTCACACACAGATGATGCAACGCTGAACCCCGCTAGGTTTGCACCTGTGGTTGAGAGTCACACTCACGATGATGCAACGCTGAAACCCCGCTAGGTTTGCACCTGTGGAGGTTGATGCAGCTGTGGTTGCACAGTCACACACAGATGATGCAACGCTGAAACCCCGCTAGGTTTGCACCTGTGGTTGAGAGTCACACACAGATGATGCAACGCTGAAACCCTGCTAGGTTTGCACCTGTGGTTGAGAGTCACACACAGATGATGCAACGCTGAAACCTCGCAAGGTTTGCACCTGCGGTTGAGAGTAACACACAGCTGATGCAACGCTGAAACCCCGCTAGGTTTGCACCTGTGGTTGCGAGTCACACACAGATGATGCAACGCTGAAACCCCGCTAGGTTTGCACCTGTGGTTGAGAGTCACACACAGATGACGCAACGCTGAAACCCCGCTAGGTTTGCACCTGTGGCTGAGAGTCACACACAGATGATGCAACGCTGAAACCCCGCTAGGTTTGCACCTGTGGTTGAGAGTCACACACAGATGATGCAACGCTGAAACCCCGCTAGGTTTGCACCTGTGGTTGAGAGTCACACACAGATGATGCAACGCTGAAACCTCGCAAGGTTTGCACCTGCGGTTGAGAGTAACACACAGCTGATGCAACGCTGAAACCCCGCTAGGTTTGCACCTGTGGTTGCGAGTCACACACAGATGATGCAACGCTGAAACCCCGCTAGGTTTGCACCTGTGGTTGAGAGTCACACACGATGATGCAACGCTGAAGCCCCGCTAGGTTTGCACCTGTGGTTGATGATGCAACGCTGATGAAACCCCGCTAGGTTTGCACCTGTGCACACACGATGTTGTGACGCTGAAACCCCGCTAGGTTTGCACCTGTGGTTGAGAGTCACACACAGATGATGTGACGCTGAACGCTAGGTTTGCGCCAGTGAGAGTTCACACACAGCGCTGAAACCCCGCTAGGTTTGCACCTGTGGTTGAGAGTCACACACAGATGATGCAACGCTGAAACCCCGCTAGGTTTGCACCTGTGGTGAGAGTCACACACAGATGATGCAACGCTGAAACCCCGCTAGGTTTGCACCTGTGTTTGAGAGTCACACACAGATGACGCAACGCTGAAACCCCGCTAGGTTTGCACCTGTGGTTGGGAGTCACACACAGATGGTGCAACGCTGAAACCCCGCTAGGTTTGCACCTGTGGTTGAGAGTCACACATAGATGATGCAACGCTGAAACCCCGCTAGATTTGCACCTGTGTTTGAGAGTCACACACAGATGATGCAACGCTGAAACCCCGCTAGGTTTGCACCTGTGGCTGAGAGTCACACACAGATGATGCAACGCTGAAACCCCGCTAGGTTTGCACCTGTGTTTGAGAGTCACACACAGATGACGCAACGCTGAAACCCCGCTAGGTTTGCACCTGTGGTTGGGAGTCACACACAGATGGTGCAACGCTGAAACCCCGCTAGGTTTGCACCTGTGGTTGAGAGTCACACATAGATGATGCAACGCTGAAACCCCGCTAGATTTGCACCTGTGTTTGAGAGTCACACACAGATGATGCAACGCTGAAACCACACACACACAGATGATGCAACGCTGAAACCCCGCTAGGTTTACACCTGTGGTTGAGAGTCACACACAGTGAGAGTCACACACAGATGATGCAACGCTGAAACCCCGCTAGGTTTGCACCTGTGTTTGAGAGTCACACACAGATGATGCAACGCTGAGACCCCGCTAGGTTTGCACCTGTGTTTGAGAGTCACACACAGATGATGCAACGCTGAAACCCCGCTAGGTTTGCACCTGTGTTTGAGAGTCACACACAGATGATGCAACGCTGAAACCCCTAGCACCTAGGTCACACACAGATGATGCAACCTGAAACCCCGCTAGGTTTGCACCTGTGTTTGAGAGTCACACACAGATGATGCAACGCTGAAACCCCGCTAGGTTTGCACCTGTGGCTGAGAGTCACACACAGATGACGCAACGCTGAAACCCCGCTAGGTTTGCACCTGTGGCTGAGAGTCACACACAGATGATGCAACGCTGAAACCCCGCTAGGTTTGCGCCTGTGTTTGAGAGTCACACACAGATGATGCAACGCTGAAACCCCGCTAGGTTTGCACCTGTGTTTGAGAGTCACACACAGATGATGCAACGTTTTTAGTGAAGGTGGGTTTTAAGATTGCAAGGCTTTCAGATTTTAAGGTTCTAATATTTGAAGGCTTTACTTACGATTTTTAGACGTCAACATTTATGATTTTAAGACTTTAAGATTGTACGGTGCGTGTTACTTTCGCATTTTAAAGTTCTTCAATTCTTAGACGATTGAGATTTCAAGATTGCAAGATTTGGACGGTTCTATGATTTTAAGACTTTAAGGTTTGAAGATTTGAATCTTAAGGTTTTGGAGTTTTAAGATTTTGAGACTTGACGATGATAATCCGAAGATTTGAAGGTCCTAAGATGTTTAGATTTTAAGGTTTCAACATGTTGAGATTTCAATATTTCAAGATATAAAAGATTCTAAGACTTCAAGATTTCAGCTTTTAAGATTGTAAAATTCTCAGATCTTACGATGTCAAGATCTTAAGATTCTACTGTGTTCAGTTTTTTCAGGTTTGCAGATTTTTAGATTTCAAGAACTTAAGCCTGCAAGATTTTGAGATTGTAAAATTGTAAGATTTTTTATGTTTACCATTCTCAGATTTTAAGACTTTGAGATTTCATCAAAGGCTGGCAGCATCCCCAGCATCCCGCACGGGTCTGCAGACCCACAAGCCCAAGCCAGACCCAAAAGCCGGCCCAAAACATGCCAGCGCACCCCCAGCAGCGCAAAAATCCGCGGAATCTTCGCCCCTTGGGGGGCGGAGCGCAAAATCCGCCAGCATCCTTGGCATCGCGGATCGGCGGCGCGGTGCAGCCTCTCAGAACTTCGCTCCAGAGCCTAGACACTTGAAATGTTTATGGAACATGATGACAATGATAACTAGCATGATCATGATAGTTCTGATGATGACAATGATGATCACCATGATGACGCTGACGCTGGGGACGAAAATAACTATCATAGGACCCCCTGCATTCATCATTTGTGTGGCGATGCTGATGATGATGATGATGATATCATCGTCGCATCCCCTGCATCCCCAACGCTTTTCAACAGGACACTTGAATTGTAAATAGAAGCAATGACGACGATGATGACTGTGCACCTCACCCTTGCAGACAAGGGGTCGGCGGATTTCTGGGGGTGGAAAGCGATGGATGAAGCAAATCCAGCTTGCGAGGAACGGTTCATGCCTCACTTTGCACCTCACCTCTCTGTGTTGCCGGCTCGTTGGCGCTCCGAAAGTTTCTGCGTAACGACCACAGAGTTTCATAGTCAGAGAACATGGGGGCAGGTTGGACTGCAGAATTACGAAGAGGTTCAGGCTCCGAGAATGGGACGTTTGACTCACTCAGAGCCGCGTGCCTGCCGCGTTCCGCCCCGCGTTCCGCCTCACTCAGGTGTGTTTGACAACCACGCGGATGGTGGGCGACCTTTGTACCGCACTGGAGGGCAAGATCGTATCGTACTGCGACACGATTTTGCAGGCCACCTCATGCCTCAGACTGGCAAGTGTCCATGGATTCGCCGCAGATCCTCTACATCAACTTGAAAAATCCGGCAGTGGATCGGAAGATCAAGGCCTGTGTGAGCCGCGTGCGCGTTCGGAGCTTGCCGGAGTAGGCAGCCGTGATGACCTGCTTTGGGGACATAGCGATGGCCATCAGTGGCGACTTCGAGAAGTGCAGCTTGAGGTCGCCGTGTTCGTTATATTTAAAAAAACGAGGTACCTTGGACCGGTGGTGCAGATGCTCAGAGAGGCATCCTCTACAAGGCATGCGCTCACGACTCTCCCCGCTCTTGCCCCGTCCGGCGACTCGTCCGGGAGTGCCAGGCTTGCAGATGGGCCAGATAGTGAGGAGTGGATCGAGTGCCTTCGCATAGTTCGCGACATATGGATGTTTGCAGGCGAAGTCATTTCAATCAAGGTAAGCCGATGTTGCAGGTACCTGAACAGCCTCCGGGAAGGTGTGCTGGAAGCGTGCGCGGTCCAGGGCAACCAGATCGGATAGTCAGGATTAGTCTGAGCGACTTTTTTTTTCAGGTACTCGGGCATCATTCATGGTCTGAAAGAGTCCGGCAAGTTGCAGCTCTTTAAGGACCAGTTGGACCAGTTGGCATGGGCATGACACTTTGCGCCTTTGCACATCTTGCTCAGGAGCACGTGAACACAGTGCTCATGTTAGTTAAGGAAATCACTGAAGATCAAACTTCGTCAGTAGCTCAGCGCGCATACCGCGCAGCATTTTGGGACTCGGACCGGGGAGACTTCCTGCTAAGGCAGATGCCAGTGATCAAAGCTTGCCCCTCAGGCTGTCGCAACATCCACAAGTCAACGAGCCTTAAGTCTCAGGCCTTTTAGAGCTGTGCAGCCTGCATTTCTTGGGTTGAATGTGAATTTGCAGATAAACATGTAGTCCAAGAAGCATATTAGCTTTCTACAGTTAAGGCGATCATCCAGAAAATGGTGCTATATCCAGCCCATGCCACCCCATGCCAACCCCCTGGCAAGAAAGAAAGGAAGGAACACAAATCCAGAACAGCAAGAGCATTGGAAGAGCGAGAAGGTCACGTGCAATTGAGGCAGCAGTTGGTGTCGTGGGTGACCTGGTGCTGGTGTTCCAGACAGAGTTTGGGGCTTGGCCACTGACAGCAATCTGATATCACGCTTCCGCTTGAGGCTGACAGCCTATGTGGGCAAGGCTCCCTTTTTGGGCCAATTGGTGCAGCTGGCAATCAGGACCGAACGCTGGCAGGGCTCGACTCCAAAAGCCCAAAAGTCCGAAAGTCAGTCGGCAGGAGTCAAGAGCCCAAGCTGCTGCAGAATGCTCAGTGGCTGCAGGGTATGTTGGTCAGGCGCGTGAACAGAAAGCCGAGAGCTAAAAGCGACCGAGCGCTTTGAGAAGCACCGTATGCGAGCTCTGAGAAAAGCGAAAAGCTTTGCGAAAAGCTTTGCAGGTTCGGTGGGACGTGAAGCGTTTGCCGCCTGCCACCAAGCATCGCTGAGCCCGCTCGGCCCGGCCATTTTTTCGGAAGAGATGTTCCCTCGGATCGAAACCCTCATTCCGGCGAACTCACACCTTGGAATCTTCAAAGTATGGACTATCATGCGTTGCGAGCAGTTGAAATCTGAAAAGCGAATAGGCACGTGGTGTGCAAGACTACCAGAGGGAAACTTAAATGAGTTGTTTAATATTCCCTTGGGCGCGGAATCTGATTTGCTCTTCACTGTTTGCGTGCATCGCCGTAGAAGCAAAACACGTTTTTCCAGAACTTCATGCTGAGATTGCATTCCGTTTGCTTGCCACACGGGTTGCATTTGTGGCTGGCTGGCTGCCCATCTTCAGGCTGGGCCACGCAATTCGAAGGCGAGGCATGCCATGTGGCACCCGCATTGCGCAAAGTCGCACCCTTCGAGTCGGCGGCTTGATTACAAATGCAGCGTGTGCGAAGCGTGGCCAAGCGCCAAATGAAAGCAGCCCGAGATGGGAGAGGCGCGCTAATTAAGACAGCAGGTGTAGGGTACGTCATGTTCAGACGATTTATTGCGCATTGTTTGATGCAATCGCGCGCGGGGAAGGCACGCGAAGGGTTGGTGTTTGGGCCTGGATATGTCCCAAGCGCGTCTCAGTTTCCATAGCCCAAGTTGCGAAGCGCCGCGTGGGGTGATTGCGCGCACGGCCGTGGACCACCCAACAGCGCGGGGATCCGTGCAAGGGCAGTTCGGGGCAGGGCAGTGCACGGCTTGTTGCACATGGCGCCATGCCTCTCAAACACTGCTCTGGACAGGAAATGCCAAAGACAGTTGCCATGTGAGAAGGTCTGCTTATTGTTATCTTGGTCTATCTTGCTGACCGACAGTGAATTCCTGCAGCGTGCTTCATGTGTTTTTTTTATTTCGGTATCTAAAACTGTAAAACGCAACGCAAATGTACTTACCATGATGAAGAGATAGTGGATGGATGGATGGATGGATCTGCATAGATGGCTGCATGGAATGGATTGAATGAATGCATGCATGCATGCATGAATGCATGAATGCATGCATTCATTGATTCATTGGTTCATTGATTCACTGATTCATTCATTCGTTCGTTCGTTCATTCATTCACTCAGTCACTCACTCATTCATGAATGAATGAATGAACGAACGAATGAATGAATGAATGAATGAATGAATGAATGAACAAGTGGGTGAATAAACGAACGACCGAACGAACGAATGAATGAATGAATGAACGAACGAATGAACGAATGCATGAATGAATGAATGAATGAAAGAAATGAATGAATGAACGAGTGGGTGAATAAACGAACGAACGATCGAACGAACGAATGAATGAATTAATGAATGAATGAATGAACGAACGAACGAATGAACGAATGAATGAATGCATGAATGAATGAATGAATGAATGAATGAACGAGTGGGTGAATGAACGAACGAACGAACGAATGAATGAATGAATGAATGAATGAAGAGAATGAATGAATTCATTCATTCATTCATTCATTCATTCATTCATTCATTCATTCATTCATTTGTTCATTCGTTCATTCGTTCATTCACTTACTCGTTCATTCATTCATTCATTCATTCATTCATTCATTCATTCATTCATTCATTCATTCATTCATTCATTCATTCATTTGTTCATTTCTGCACTCACTCATTCACTCACTCATTCATGTCATGTCCTTAAATCGTCTAGCTTCATGTTAATTCATGCTCATTCATTCGTGTTGATCCATTCATCCGTTAATTCGTTCGTTCATCCATCTATCCATGCATTCATTCATGCATGCATTAATTCATTCATGCATGCATTCATTCATGTTAAAGGAGAACTGACTGTGTAACCTCCTAACAACCTGAATGTGTGAACCTGTGATGTGAACGACTTGGCGCAGTTGTAGTCTTTTCCTATCTGGGGAAATGCGCTGTAGGCTCAAGGCCTTGAGCCAAACAGCGGAGAGGGACGCGCATGTGGCTTGTACGTTCCACCCGTTCTCGGATTGTACAATCTCCGAATGCAGCTAGCCTAATGTTGCAGGATGATGCAAGCCAGTGACTGATCTCATGTCAGTGACTGTACAACGGTGTCCCTCAAGTGTCGGCTGCTGTACCATCAAAATGCTGTAACTGTACATTCCTGGCTCGCTGATAGCCTGTGCCGCAGGGTAGGTTTGGTAGCTCAACGCCATCGAAAATCCAGCATGCGTGCGGTCAAGAGCAGCCTCTGTGTCCAAAAGCTTCTGAATTAGAGTATGATGTGCCGGAGGGCCATGTAATCCTTTGTCACATTGTGAAGCGAACCCGATGCTTTTTCAATGGGTGACAAAGTCCACGTACAATCCTGATGCAACTGCAGGACTTGTCCAATGCAACCTCTGTTGAACAATGTAACCCTTGTCTCGTAAACCTTCTGAAACAGTTCATCCGTCTGTAGGCTGCTCTTGTACACAAAGACTGTGCTCATGTCAGCTGTACTGTCCACGCACACATCAACCAACCCAAGGCACTCCACGAAACCGTATAACACCCCAACGAAACCCAATGTGGGGGGCCCCATGTAGCCAGGGGTTCTGTACCTCAGTCGGCTGAGTTATGACAGCGGCTGTCATGAACGTGTATTGCTCCACTGTAAGCGGAATCATCACCGTTGTGTAATTGTAAGGCATCCGGTGTAATCGGGATGTTACCATTGACCGGTTCCAATGTGAACTCTTCGGGCACTGTCATCGGCACGCGCAGGGTCTTGTAAGCCCTGTGAGCGATCGATGTAAGGCTGAAAGCCTAGAGGCGCACTGTACACCGCAAATGTAAATGGCTGCAGCGTGTACAAAAACATTGGCAGAAACATGCACAGACTGTCTTGCAAAAATGGGTAGTCAAAGCAGTTGCAGAAGCGAGGGTAGATCCAATGTTGTGTTGACAGGGGCGGTGCTGCAAACGGGCTGAATCCCCGGACAACCCCGCGGACAAACCCCCGGACAATCCCCCGACAGCTTTGAGGGCACAAAATCGGCGGGACAAGCCCGGACAAACCCCCGGCCCAAAAGTTCGGGACAAACCCACCCCCCGGACAACCCTCCGGGACAGCTTTGGGGGCCCAAAAACCCGGGACAAACCCCCGGACAAGTCTTCGGACGCGGTTTGGAACACACTCGGAAACCACTCGGAAACCGCTCGGAAACCACTCGTAACCCGCTCAAAACCACTTGATCGAGGGCAGCATAAATCTTGGCAAAGTGCGCGGACAACCCTCCGGACAACCCCCCGGACAGCTTGCCGGACAGTTGTTTGTCCAGCAGTTTGTCCCGCGCTTTGTCTGGCACTTTGTCTGGCACTTTGTCCCTCACTTTGTCCCGCACTCTGTCCCGCATATGGAGGGGGTGTTTATGCAGAAGGGCATTCGTCAAGTTATGCATCTAACCCAACAGTTTGTGTTGACTCCAGGGTAGGCGCATGGCTGTAGCTAACCTACAGCAGAAAACATATGCGCCGGCCGCTTAGTTGGCAACTGTTGCTTAACATAATGTGAGCGCTGTGTGAGACTGGGTGCGCCGCTGTGGCCTCACAGGCCAACGTTGTACATGTGCTTGTTGAGGATATCACAGCTGACAAGCTTTGTTAGTAAGTCTGCTGAATTCTCCTCTGATCTTACTTTGTGCGTTTTGATGATTTTGCTTTTGACAAGTTGCTGTGTGAAGAGGTGTCGCAGCCCGATGTGCTTTGCCTTCTTTGATGTACCTTCTCTCATTGCTATTGGTGTTGCTGCGCTGCTGTCTGTGTGTGTGTCCTTATGTTGGTGCGTGCTTCAAATGCTTTGATGAAGTTGCTGATGTAAAGGCTCTCCTGTGCTGCTGTGCCAATTGCGTACAGCTCTGATTCTGCTGACGAAAGTGCTATTGTTTCTTGTGTTCTTCTGCCATTTTGCATTGCTGCTCCTTAAAGATGTGTAACACAAATCCTGTTGTGCTCTTCCTTGTTGTCTCGCAAGATGCCCAGTTGGCATCTGTGTATGTGTCAATGAGTGGAATTCGCATGTCCTGTGTGTGCCTTGTTGGTCTTAGGTTGCGTCGCGTGTGCCTTGTGCCTTTAAGGCGCCGGATCATGCGCTTGAGCTTCCTGTTGTCAAACTGTGTTGGTGATTGTAGTGATCTTGCTAGTTCCTTTGCCTGATAGCTGATGTCTGGTCGTGCGTGTGTGCGCTAGCCATTGTATCTTGCCAACAAGCCGCCTGTGTCGCTTGTCTTGCTCGTGATCAAGTGGCGCTTCATCTTCTACTGTGCTTTTCATGTGTGCCACTCCTGGTGATGGCGCTGGGTTGCATGTAGTCATTCCTGCCTCCTCCAGGATGATGTCGTCGTATTTGTTGTTCACGCTGGTGTTGATGTAGCAAATGTATTGTGGATCCCACATTGAGGTCACCTGTGTGCCTCAACAGTACGTCGTCTACATATATCATGATGTAGACTAGGCAGTCTTTTGAACTGTAAACATTGCTTTCTGTTTCGCGTCTCACAAGTTCAAGTGTGACTGTAAGGATGTGTGCAATGCGGTCTTGCCATGGTTTTGGTGATGGTCTTCAACCGTAGATGGCTTTGTTCAGTCGCCACATTATGCGTCTGTTTTCTTCGTTGTAGACACGTGCGGTGGTCTCATTACCCAAATTGTATGAGATTGCTGCTGCATGTAGAAACGCAACAATCACATCTCCTGCGCAGACTGACCAATTGTACACCAATGCCGTTGTAAGAGCCCTCAGTATACAAAACAGTGGTGCACTTGCAAAGAGTAGGTCGTGGTCTGTAACGGGGTTTGTTTGAGGGCCCATCTTGATTCAATGATGTTTGAACGTTGTTCTGGTGTCTGGTTGGTCTTTCATTTGTTGCACCTCTTTCTTCATTCTTCGTGACACCAATTGTAGGTCCAAGTCTTCTGTATCATTTTGGATCGGTGCTGGTAGGATCCTTTCATTTTTGGTTTCCTGTAAGTCAATTATCACATGAGATTTATGGCCCAGAGGTTCATGAGTTAGGTTCCCATGTTGCAAGTGTAGAATACCCCAAGGCACAAGACCAATGGCATGTCCGCATGTCATTGCTTTGGCTCAAGACAAAAAGGCGCGCATTGCGCGCGTTTGCCCAAGGTTAAGGGAGAGGTTGCAGTCACGGCGGGATTCGTTCCTTTTAAGGTCCCGGGCACCCCCGTTGTTGAGAAAACTGTGTTTCCCTCTCCTTTGAGTGGTTATCAGCCGTAATGCTTTGCGGGTAAACAAACCCTTCTGTGACTGCGACCGTTTCGGTCGCACATGGAAGCCGGCCCTCACCGCGGCATTCGTGGTGGCAAGGGGCCGTGTGCTCGGTTATTCAACACCCTGCAACAGATCATCGTTGACGAGTATAAGAAGCAGGACAGGCGCTTCCG